GGAGGGACAGTTTAGTGCAAGCCTCCAATGCGCAGACTCAAGCAGCTAAGAAGTACATTGAAGGAATCCATCCCAATGGAGGTGAGTGTGATGCTTAGGGAGATGCATGAAGTAGATCAGAGTGGACACCTGCCAGGGTTTGGGGAGTCACATTGGTGGACCTTTTTGGGCCAACAAGTCCAATGGCTCCCATTCCATCACTTTCAAAAACTCAAGACAGAACCAAACCTGGAATGGATTCAGTGCGTGGGAGCTCCCAAACACCACTCCTGAAAAACTGGCAGAAGAATGTTTGTTGTGGTCCAAAATTTATTTTTGCCTGCTTGGCTATTCCTGTTTATAAAATAACATCACATTCAATTGGCCATTGCAAGAGTTTAGAGCCCAATCTAGCTAAAGTTGAGTCTCACTGAAGTAACTCTTCTGTAGATGTCCGTAGAGAAATAAGGCAAAAATGCAATATCAAATTCTGTAAGATTGAAAGGAACTGGCTTCCTCCAGCAAGTGTATAAACTTCTTTTTCTTATCTAATTTTCAACAGGAACAAATATCAATGATGCTCTTCTCCGGGCAATCTTTATTTTGAAAGAAGCCAGTAATCTGGGAATGTTGGATCCAAGCTCGACATCCATGATTGTGCTTGTTTCGGATGGAGACCCAACTGTAGGTAAGAGCCTTGCACTGTTTTACCTTTTGACAAAATAACTTTGCAAGATTCTGTTGCTGCTTCAGTTTCCTTTCATAGAATCATAGAATCAAAGAGTTGGAAGAGACCTCATGGGCCATCCAGTCCAACCCCCTGCCAAGAAGCAGGAATATTGCATTCAAATCACCCCTGACAGATGGCCATCCAGCCTCTGTTTAAAAGCTTCCAAAGAAGGAGCCTGCACCACACCTCTGGGGCAGAGAGTTCCACTGTTGAATGGCTCTCACAGTCATGAAGTTCTTCCTCATGTTCAGATGGAATCTCCTTTCTTGTAGTTTGAAGCCATTGTTCCGTGTCCTAATCTCCATGGAAGCAGTAAACAAGCAGTAAACATAGGGACCACCAAACGCAGCGCCCAAACAAGAATCAAGGAACATGAAAGGCACTGCAGACTACTTCAGCCAGAGAAGTCAGCCATAGCAGAGCACCTGATGAACCAACCTGGACACAGCATTTTATTTGAGAACACAGAAATGCTGGACCACTCTCACAACCACCATGTCAGACTACACAGAGAAGCCATTGAAATCCACAAACATGTGGACAATTTCAACAGAAAGGAAGAAACCATGAAAATGAACAAAATCTGGCTACCAGTATTAAAAAATTCTAAAATTAAAACAGCAGAGAGAAAAACAGGCAGGGACATCTAATCACCTTCAAGAAGAGTTTGCTCCAGGCACAGTCAGCCCATTGTATGCTAATCAAGGTGGTCAGTTGAAAGATTCACACCCAACCCAACTTACAAAAGCCTTTTGTCTCACCCTGGTCATTCCACAGATATATAAACCCCTTTTTCCCAGCTCCAGCAGACCTCTGAGGAAGCTTGCCATAGATGCAGGCGAAACGTCAGGAGAAATGCCTCTAGAACATGGCCATATAGCCCGAAAAAACCCACAAAAACTGAAGCTTGCTCCCTCCTCCTCCCTGTGGCTTCCTTTCACATATTTATACATGGCTATCATATCTCCTCTCAGCCTTCTCTTCTTCAGGCTAAACATGCCCAGCTCCTTAAGCCGCTCCTCATAGGGCTTGTTCTCCAGACCCTTGATCATTTTAGTCGCCCTCCTCTGGACACATTCCAGCTTGTCAATATCTCTCTTGAATTTTGATGCCCAGAATTGGGCACAATATTCCAGGTGTGGTCTAACCAAAGCAGAATAGAGGGGTAGCATTACTTCCCTAGATCTAGACACTATGCTCCTATTGATGCAGGCCAAAATCCCATTGGCTTTTTTTGCCACCACATCACATTGTTGGCTCATGTTTAACTTGTTGTCCACGAGAGACTCCAAGATCTTTTTCACACGTACTGCTCTCGAGCCAGGCATTTCTTGCGCTTGCTCCTCCTCATTTTAAGTACCCTGCCTAGGTGTATGTCAGCATCTCTTTCCTTTCTTTTCCCATCAGGAGAGTTGAAACTACCTACAATCCAGAAGAATGTGAAGAAGAATATTCAGGATGACATCTCTTTATTCTGCCTTGGGATTGGATTTGACGTGGATTATGATTTCTTGAAGAGACTGGCACAAGAGAACAACGGAATGGCACACAGAGTTTTTGGAAACCAGGAAACCTCTTCTCAAATGAGGGTGAATTTCCTTTGTCATTTTTCCTGTTTAAGATCCATGCCCAATGACATTAAATGCACAATACAAGCGCATCCAGTACAAGTGTCCTGTTATGTGTGGCAAGTTTCTCTTCAAGGCCTCCTCAATCCTGTGCCTCTTTTCAAATTTGCAGAAATTCTTCAACCAGGTCTCTACCCCACTTCTCAAAAAATTGGAATTCAACTACCCACAAGAAATGGTGTCTGATGTCACCCACAACAGCTTCCAGAACTATTTTGGAGGGTCTGAGATTGTGGTGGCAGGAAAAGTGGATACCGCAAACACACAACATTTGCAGAGTGTGATCACAGCAACTGCCGTGAGTATGATGTTTTCAGGTGCTTACAAGCAACTATCTGTGCCGGCAGGACTGAAAACCGACAGGTTGCAGGTTCGAATCCAGGGAGAGGCAGATGAGCTCCCTCTATCAGCTCCAGCTCCCCATGCAGGGACATGAGAGAAGCCTCCCACAAGGATGATAAAGACATCAAATCATCCAGGCGTCCCCTGGGCAACGTCCTTGCAGACGGCCAATTCTCTCACACCAGAAGCAACTTGCAGTTTCTCAAGTTGCTCCTGACACGACCAAAAAAAAAAAAGTTCATTGAGGCCACACAACCCTCAAGTAATAGGCAAAATGTAACCCACAAGCAGCATGTGGTACCCAGGACTCCTAGGATAGCACATGTGGTAGTGACCATCCCATGATAAAGCCACAAGACAATTTTAATCTGATAGCTTGTCCATTTTGTTTTTTAGAGCAATGCACAATTAGTTTTGGAGACTCTGGCAGATGTTGAAGGATTGGATGACTTTCTGAACAAGGACAAGCATGCTGATCCCAAATTCACTGAAAAGTTGTGGGCCTACATAACCATCAACCAACTCATGGCTGAAAGGTGAGGAGGAAAGCAGCCAGTTGAATTCAATCTGTACGTTGTGCAGAAGACTAACAGTCCCAAACACACACATCATTCATGCTCATCACAAACTTCCACCATTGGAATAGTTTATTTTAGGAGAAATTGGGAATAGAATGGTTTTGTTGCAGCTGAATAAGTGGGACTCAACAGTCATTGTCAATCTATTGCAAATTACCTGGTGATCTATAAGTAAATGCAGATCTACTGTCTGCTTACCCACTTCTATTCAACAGTGTTGTATCCCACCCCATTTCAGTTTGCAATCGCCTTTCTAAACATTTCCCAGGCAGTTTAGGTCCTCTTAGCACAGATTCAATTTTCACCCTGGGACAGCAGACACCATGGACTACTAAAAGACTAATAAATGGTTCCAAGCACAAATCAGGCCTGAACTTCCCTGGAAGCCAAAAAACCTAAACTTTGGCCATTTCATGAGAAAAGATTGCTCACTAGGAAAGTAAATAATAGTTGGCAAAGTCGAGGGCAGCAGCAAAAACTCGAAGACTCCATTCCTGATGGATGGACTCAATCAATGAAGGCATGGCCCTGAGTCTGTAGTACCAGAGTTCAGGATAGCATAGGCATAGGCAAACATTGGCCCTCCACATGCTTTGGGCTTCATCTACCACAGTTCCTAACAGTTGGTAAGTAGGCTGGGATTTCTGTGACTTGAAGTCCAAAACACCTGGCACGCCGGTTTGCCCATGCCTATCATAGAAGGATTTGGAGGTTGCTCATTCATAGGGTTGCAATAAGCTGAGGTCAGCTTGAAAACAGTTAAACTCAAACAGCAGAATGCCCTCTATCAATTGGTGCCCAATTTCACTGGCATGATTTTGGGGCACACTTTGAGTGTCTGCTTATGGTCTACTTACATCTTGGTACAGATATCATAAAAACAAACAGGCAGTCATAGATTTCTGTTGCAGCCTGTAACACCTGACTTTGCTTCTTACTCCTGATAGAAACATGGCTCCCACAGCTGCCCTGAAAAGGAACATCACAAAGCGAATGCTCCAGATGTCCCTGGACCATCACATTGTGACCCCCTACACAGCAATGTTGATTGAGAGCCCAAATGGAGATGAGCTGATGCTGGCTGACTCTCCTCAGGACCGGAAGAAGGCCTGCTGTCCAGGTTGGTCTCATGCATGTTGGGCGCAGAGAGCACCCTTTGTACTTACTATTATCATATTTATCTTTTTATCTCTCCCAACAGGTGCTTTAACCATTGGTGCCACAAAGCCAGACAATTCCATCCCACCTTGGGCCACATCTACATCCAAGGATCCATTATCTCAAGTCAGGGGTCCAACTGCTGCAGCTGTTCATCAGGGTAAGAGAAACTGTTATGAATAACTTTCTCGCATTGGAAAATAATATCCCACTTCTGACACCAATTATGTCATGAATGACTTTTCAATAACTTTGAAGCATAGGTTCTTTTTATTGCAGTTTCCAGTGTGAGARGGTATATCAGATTACAGAAAAATATTTAGACATACAGACATACAGATTCTATGCAACTATATTGGTCGTACAACAACTTACAGTTACATTGGACTAACAAACAGACAAAGGGGAAWTACATTTTCACTCARYATTCAYACCACATGTRCAYRCAYYCATCCTCAGGCATTCAAATATTAYCATATCMTTTTCTCTCTCCTTGGAGAAGCACCTGGTAGGCCAGACCCTGCCTTCCTGCAGCTTGCCAATGTAGCTCCAAAACTTCCATAACTTCATAACTTCAAAACGCCAAAATGCATCCTTTCCCTAAGCACAATGCCAAAGACCAGATCTGTGTTTTCCATACACAAAACACTCCCTGCACAAAATCTAATACTCCAAAAGTGCACTTCTTCCTCTTCCCTTGAGAAAGAAGCCCCAAAGTGACCAGAATCATGCTTTCCCATAGCATATCTGACACTCTCCATAGGTACACTATCTCTCTTTCCTATGGAGCAGAGCATAGCGGGTGAACAGTGTCTCTGTCACATTTTGAGCATTATTAGACTGAGTCTTTTATAGGAATATTCTGCTGATGTCATCCCAAAGTTGTAAATTAATGATAGACGACTTCCGTCCTAGCTCCATCTCAGTTTCCTGGCCAGATGATGATCTTCTTGATTAGTGTAGATCTTATGTTGACGTCCTTCTTAACATTGTAAACATTTCTGTTATCACAGTCCCAAATCTTACCAGAGTTTACTTTTCAGTTAGCAACTTTTAATTACAGTCCAGAAAGCAGGTAGTTAGTTATTGCAGGCCTTAATATTTTACTGGTGTTTCCAAAATTATTAATTCCATAAATCCTTCCATTAATTCCCACACATCATATTAAATTCACATTTATCAAATGTGCACATTGAATTTCTTGTGTCAAAACTGTGTTTGTTTTTTTTTGCCTACTGTGGTGGAAAACCAAGAAGAGAAAGCAAAATGAATGGATGGTGAAATTATCACTCCTTTCCTCCTTCCTTTTTTCTTTTCTTCACATGTCCTTCCTTTTCTCTTTCAGCCTCCCACCTCTTCTCTTCTTCCTTACAGCTATCTCTTTTTCCTTCCGTTCTCTCTTGCCAAACTGTGGACACCATGATGGCTGAACTGTCTTTGTGTGTGGCTGCCCTAAACAAAAACACTGTATAGTACCCAAACCCTTCTTTAACACTTCTCACCTGATAGATTCTTCCCACTTTCTCTCCCCACCTTCCCGACACACTGATTTTACCTTAACTAATCAACTGCAACAGTTTATGACCCACGTTCTGTTCATTGTTCTAACTAAAGGAGCCCAAGTGAAAGAACTGCTGAATGGTGAATGAATGCATATGTCAATCCTTTTGAATAAATTGATTTATTCTCATCAGTGCCAATCCCAGATAACACTATTTTAAAAATGATAATCTCTATTAAGAGCCTAAAGTTCTGTTCCGCATTCCAGAGCCAAGAATTCATAATGTGCAAGCTTAATTTTCAGGGTTTTTCTGTTTCCCGTTACGTGTTTGTTAGTGGCATTATGATTTCAGCAGTATTATTATTACAGATTGAGTATCCCTTATCCCAAATGCTGGGAACATGTTTTGGATTTCTGACTTTTTAAGGTTTGGAATACCTGTAAGGTAAAGTAAAGGTAAAGATTTTCCCTTTGCATTAAGTCTAGTCATGTCCGACTCTGGGGGGTGGTGCTCATCTACATTTATAAGCTGAAGAGCCGACATTGTCCATAGACACCTCCTAGGTCATGTGGCCAGCATGACTGCATAGAGCAGTGTTTCTCAACCTTCCTAATGCCGTGACCCCTTAATACAGTTCCTCATGTTGTGGTGACCCCCAACCATAAAATTATTTTCGCTGCTACTTCATAACTGTAATTTTACTACTGTTATGAATTGTAATGTAAATATCTGATGTGGAGGGTATATTTTCATTCACTGGGAGTATTGGGCACAAATACCCAATATGCCCAAATTTGAATACTGTTGGGGTTGGGGGGATTTATTTTTTTCATTTGGGAGTTGCAGTTGCTGAGATTTATAGGAACCTTGGACTGCAAACATTTAATACAAAGCAATAAAATTGGAGCTCCTGGTACAGCCGTACCAGAACAGAATTAGATATCTTGTTGGACCCAAGCCTAAACATGGAATTCATTGATGTTTCACATACATCTGATAAACATAGCCCAAAGATAATTTTATAATATTGTATTTTAGAAGATTTTGCATTTTGGAATTCCTGGTCATGGGTGCTCAATCTGTACAAGTCATTGCTGAAATAGTAATCTTGCTGTAGTAGAGATAGCAGCCAAGGACTGAAATAACTGCAGTTTCCTCACTTGTTTACTTTGTCTTCCTTGCTTTCTCCTTCTTGTGTTCTTTCTTTTATATCCTCTTAACAGTAAAGTTTGTTGGGAGGACTCGTTCTCCCATTCTTTGTAAAGTATCATACACACAGATAATGTCTGGTCCTTCTTATCCACTCCTCAAGGCAAAGGGAGGGATTTCAAGTGGCTGAGGGGGAAAGGAAGGGGCCTGAGGCTGTTAGGAATTGTGGGAGTTGAAGTCCAAAACACCCGGAGGGCCAAAATTTGCCCATGTCTGACATATATTTTGKCCCTGGCRGGCCAAAATTTGCCCATGCATACAACTCAGGGAGCATACAACTCCTCTGTTGCGCCAGCTCCACTGGCTGCCAGTTTGCTACCGGGCACAATTCAAAGTGCTGGCTTTARCCTTTAAAGCCCKAAACGGTTCTGGCCCTACTTACCTCTCCGAACGCATCTCCTCCTATGAACCAACTAGGACATTAAGATCATCTGGGGAGGCCCTGCTCTTCAGTCMKGCSYGCATCACAGGCRCRCCTGGCGGGAACGAGAGACAGGGCCTTCTCAGTGGTGGCYCCWCGGCTGTGGAACGCCCTTCCTATAGATATCAGATCGGCCCCATCCCTATTGGCGTTTCAGAGGAAAGTGAAGACCTGGCTGTTCGAACAAGCATTTGATTAAGCAGTGTAATGAATATAGGAACACGGATTAATGGATGATGAGATTGGATTCTGATTTTGCTGATGAGACGCTAATGATTGTTATATTGATGTTTAATTGTTGATGAGGCTATTGTTTTAACTGTCCCATAATCGTTTTATGATGTTTTGCATTGAATTTTGCTGTTGTTAACTGCTTTGAGTCGCCTGAGGGCTGAGAAAAGCGGTATATAAATAGAGGTTTTGCACGATGGCTCAGGTTGCAAGAGCTCATGCATCAGATTCTTCTTTCTGAGGCTGGACACGAATGTGAATTGGAGGGATCAGAAGCAAATTTTCCAAAGGTATATAAATAAAGTAAATAAATTAATAAATTAATAAATATATCCATAAATAAGAACACCAAAGATCACCCCTAGTGTTTCATTACGTAACAGGGTGGCAAACCCTGACACATGCTACTATTATAATATAAGCTTTCCTGGTGGTAAATGATGTAGCGGATGGTACACAGCAGAGAGGCATAGAAGTCCTTTCCTCCATAGGATCCAGACCCCCAAAAAGCAAAACTGGAATTGAGCCTCAAACTAAATCTAGCATAAGTTACCCCCTGACCAGCACTCAAATGAAATCCATATGGTTGGACATATAGGAAGCCCTGTAGAATGAATGCAGTTTGGCACTCAGTTTGCCATGGCTTAATGCTATAGAATCCTGTGAGTTGTAGTTTGGTGATGCAACAACATGCTTTGATGATAAGCCTAAAGATCTTGTAAAAGCACAGTGCCCATGAACCCATAGTCTTGCCTCAAACTTTTCTCTTCTCCACCTAATCCACTATTACTCTTTTCTGGAAGTTTGCTGTAGAAACCCATATAATGAGTGTATGGAAAAGTAGAAAAAGGGTTGTGATGTGTGTGTGAGTGTGGAGACAAGCTTTCAGGACAACGTCATGTCTTTGAGAAGAGCATTTGGGTACTTTAAATGGGGGTTACATGACCTGAAGTTTGGCGAAACTGTGAGATGGGGTGAGCTCCCATCTGTCAGCTCCGGCTTCTCATGCAGGGACATGAGAAAAGCCTCCCACAGGATGATAAAACATCTGGGTGTCCCCTGGGCAACATCCTTGCAGACAGCCAATTCTCACACACTAGAAGCAACTCGCAGTCTCTCAAGTCACTACTTTGCATGCAGGAAACCCTGAAGCAGTATGGACTAATATATATTATTTTATATGATGAAAAGTCCATCAGCTGTAGTAAACAGGGTCTCCCATTGTTTGGGAAGATGGAATCATAGAATCAAAGAGTTGGAAGAGACCTCATGGGCCATTCAGTCCAACCCCCTGCCTAGAAGCAGGAAAATAGCATTCAAAGCAACCCTGAACTTTACCTGTCTACTCAGTTTTTGTGTGTGTGTGTGTGTCACAAGCTATTTGAGAAACTGCAAGTCGCTTCTGGTGCGAGAGAATTGGCTGTCTGCAAGGATGTTGGCCAGAGGACGGCTAGATGTTTTGATGTTTTACCATCCTTGTGGGAGGCTTCTCTCATGTCCTTGCATGAGGAGCTGGAGCTGACAGAGGGAGCTCAACCCGCTCTCCCCGGATTTGAAGTGCTGACCTATTGGTCAGCAATCCTGCCGGCACAAGGGTTTAACCCATTATGCGGTCTGGGGGCTCCTACCTTGCTTACCCGTGAAACCAGATAGGTGAAGGAGGTAAATGGTGTACATAGACCTTGCAACATCTTGCTTTGTAGGAACAAGAATTCTTTGTCTATGATCATGACATTGACACTGTTTGTGGTGTGCAATGTAGGGACACTTCTGAATGTTGTTTCCTGCCGGTTTGCGAAATGTGTTTTTAGGAAAGTGTCGTAAAGGCTCAGTCTTCTGAGCTGTACTTCATGTTGGCCTTGGCTGTACTCCCGCGGGTAAACAGTGTGAAACTATTCCTGTGAGGGGTAAGTTCAGGACAGTGTGTGTTATATCTCTGATACTGAGACAACGTAGTTTGAGTGGCAACACAAATGCCACCCTCTGTTCAGGTTTGGAGGTTGAAAGAATCTTGCATACTCACGATTATACCTCTGATAATGGTTCGTTGGCAGACACTGGTTTTCCTGTAAGAAGTTGAAAAATATTGCCTGTTTGGCAATCTTGAAGCTCAAGATCTGGGTGAGACCTCACATCTTCATACACACCATTTATTTATTTATTTATTTATTTGTTGTGTCAGAAGTGAATTGAGAGTACATTTGTAATGTATTTAAAAACACAAACAAAGTTTAAAAACTTGGCATTATACTAAATGTCCTTTGACCAGTAGCTGGCCACTTGGAGTGCCTCTGGTGTTGCTATAAGAAGGTCCTCCATTGTGCATGTGGCAGGGCTCAGGCTGTATTGTAATAGGTGGTCTGTGGTTTGCTCTTCTCCACACTTGCATGTCGTGGACTTCACTTTGCAGCCCCATTTCTTAACATTAGCTCTGCACCTCGTGGTGCCAGAACACAGTCTGTTCAGCGCCTTCCAAGCTGCCCAGTCTTCTGTGTGCCCAGGAGGGAGTCTCTCATTTGCTATCAGCCATTGATTGAGGTTCTGGGTTTTAGCCTGCCACTTTTGGACTCTTGCTTGCTGAGGTGTTCCTGTATCTCTGCAGATCTTAGAAAGCTATTTCTTGAGAAAGCATTGGTGTACTGGCTGATATACGAACAGGGGATGGGCCAGAGATGTCACTGTCTTGGCCCTTTCATTATTGGCTGCTATTTCTTGGCATGTGTATCCTTCATACACACTGATATAGGAGGATATCAGCTGCTGGCCTCTCCTCAAAGCAAGGCAATAGGTTTCTGGAAGAAGTAGTCGTGGATTGTCACTGCAGCCACCCAACATTTGCTGTCTGAGGTATCTGCTTACTTGAGGTGAGCAGGATATTCTGCTCAGATTATGGTCTTCTTCACGGACACATAATTTCTTAAACTGCTGCATTCAAACTGTTTGTGGCCATGGTGTAAATCAATCTTTCCCAACCCAATGTGTTGGCTACAACTCCTATCTTCCCCAACATGGGGATCAAAACAAATCTTCCTTTTTGGAAGATTTCAGCTTGGAGAAAGCTGAGGCAAAGGAGCAGAAAGTGTTAAAATGAAAAATTGCAAATTTTTTATCTCCCAAAATTTTTATGAACCATGCACTAATAGCAGACTGTGCATATCTTCTTCATTCTTCAAACAGGATCCTTAGTTATTGGCCAAGCACCGACTGAAAACCCCATCCCATCTTGGGTGAAGCCCACATCGAAACCAGGGGGCCCATTAGCTGTTGTTATGGGTCCAACTATTTCTGCCGTACACGCAGGTAATCGAAGTTGGGCTGACTTTTATCTGTCTTTCATGAGAAGGACAGCAACTCTGTGGCTGTATGCGAGAAGTTGCAGTTGGTTGTGGTTTTGCAAGGTCTTTAGCCTTCCCTGCCAAAGCATGCTGGTGCCTCACCAAACTACAATTCCCATGATTTTATATTACAGTATTGAGTCATGGTATTTAGAGGGTTTTTTGTCATGTCAGCAGTGACTTGAGAAACTGCAAGTCGCTTCTGGTGTAAATTGGCCGTCTGCAAGGACGTTGCCCAGGGGACGCCTGGATGATTTGATGTTTTTATCATCCTTGTGGGAGGCTTCTCTCATGTCCCCGCATGAGGAGCTGGAGCTGATAGAGGGAGCTCATCCGCCACTCCCTGCATTCGAACCTGCGACCTTCAGTCCTGCCGGTACAGGGGTTTAATCCACTGTGCCACCAGGGGCTCCATGGCATTTAGAGTGCATTAATTGTACAGTGTAGATGCACTTCCAGCTACTACTACAACAAAACTTTATTTATATCCTGTCTCCTCTCCCTGTGGGGCATTAAATTGGTACGTCAATACCTATGCAAATCCTCTTGACCACTTAAGTCAGTTTCAAACTGGTATTAAACAAAGTGGTTTTCTGTGCAGATTATTACATATTGTAAAAAATCGTAGAACTAGTTTGAGGCCTGGATGGTCATTATACAGACCACAGATCACTGATGTGCATTAAGGGCTTTGTTTTGCACGCTTTCACGGGAGTTTGTTGTTTAGCTGCCACAGTCTGAAGCTAGCTTTGAACTGCATTAAATAGTCATTCAGATGGGGCCTGAGCTGCTACTTGAGACTAGCGTTCTGGTGGCCATAATTCCTTTATTGTATCCAGTTCTTCTATGTTAAAGTGGCAAGTAGTGATATAATAAAGACAGGGCAGATCTGGGGTCATTGCTATGGCTATCACTGGCTCTTACCCATTGTCACAAACATATCATCCAGCCATGTGCAATTTCCATTTTAACATTTTTTCCCACCTGCACAAGACATCTTCGCTGATCACTGGGATAATTCAGTTTCACTCATCTTCTTCCATGACAGGATCTTTACTTTTAGGGCAAGCCAACAATTCCACTTCATCCTTGAACAGAAAGAACCCAACTGACAGCAACAGGATACATTCAGGTAGAGGATATTGTACCATCTTTGTTTTCCATGTTACTTACTTTCTTTGGTTCAAGACAGAGTGCCTGTGCAAAATTCAGGGGATGGGTAGATAAAGGAATCATTTTCCATACTTCGGCATCTTCAGCATGTGGAAGTCCTCGATCTTAGGGCCTTGACTCCCTTCTCTAATCCTTGAATGAGGAGGAGGAATCTATGGGCAGGAATGCAGTCCTGAGTATGTGTATATGTCAGACTGCTGGATCTGTGGGTTCTGCATCCAACCATGGCTCAAAAATATTTGAAAGGCATGTGGGATGCTTCATCTCTCCCTGATATTGTCCATTCAATAGTGGCCTCACAAGAAGACCATGATGGAAACCATTATGTGGCCCTCTCCTGTTTTGGAAGGAAGCAAGATAGACAACTGTTGGACAGAGAGGAATGGAGATTATTCAGAGTGGAATCTCACTGGGCTTATAGTAAGAGGAATCTTGGTAGGGACCTGGGTGACACCCTAGAGCAGTGGTTCTCAACCTGGGGTCCCCAGATGTTTTTGGCCTTCAACTCCCAGAAATCCTAACAGCTGGTAACCTGGTGGGATTTCTGGGAGTTGTAGGCCAAAAACATCTGGGGACCCCAGGTTGAGAAGCACTGCCCTAGAGTCATTCCCAATAGACCTGACATACAAAATGAGCAATGAGGTGGCCCTTTGTTATTGGTTGTCAGGGTAGGGACTTGAGCTTTCATAGATTTTGGTGTCTGGAGAGAGTTTTGGAATCGATCTCATATGGGATCGGACTTTTGTGGATTTAATTAGTCACAGATTTGTTTGAAATGTTTTCATAAAAATCTCTAGGTCCTCCTTTGTGATTCTGTGGACAACATCCAAAAGGTGATGTGGTCCAGCAGGAGTTGACCAGAGTTGTGCTGGAGAACCTAGAGATTCCTAGGTCCCCCCATGCGATTCTACGATTGACGTTGAGTGGAAGTTGACTATAGATTTGTGCTGTAGGACTTAGAGATTCCTAGAGAAGTGTTCTCTCAAATTTTTAAAAAGTGTCTTTTTTCATTCATTTTTTCCTTGTCTTTGTGAAGTCCTGTGCCCTTAACCCCAGTGAATGTGGAAGGTTGGCTATAAGATTAACAAACATGTCTTGAAAATATAAAATGAACAAATGAATAACTGTGAATATATATGAATATACATGAATATAGCTTTAGCTTCTGCCTTCTTCAGTTGGTGAAGATGAAACTGCGCTGCATCCAAGGTAGCAGTTTGAAACACTCTCACTCAAAGGTGGTTTTGAGGCGTTCCTTCCTCTGAAATATAGTCTATTGCACCTGGCATTAATTTCTGATCTCCCATCAAAGTACTAACCAGAGCTGAGCCTGGTTAGCTTCCAAGATCAGACTGAATCTGGTACTTTCAGAGTATTTAGACCCTTCATTTCAGACATGCCGCCTCTTAAACCTTGTGAATCTTGAAGAGAAGCATATCTTCTTTTTTGTGGTATACCATGGCAGGATGGGATGGGGATTCATGCACACTGTGTGTATAGTTCTTCCACAGATAGAAGTTGGTTGGGATTTCAGGGTCTAAATTCATTTACTTGGTCCTCAAGATGTAAAGGAGGGATCTCACGGTGTTGGGCTACAACTCATGAAATCCCCAGCTTGCACGGCCAATAGTTGTGGGTTTCTTGGATTCATAGCCCCAAAATCACTTTCAAAGAAAGCAGCTGTAGGAAACATAGTTTTCTTCTACAGTGATCTGTGACAGAGGAGAAGGGAATAATGGGGTTGAAATTAACCTTGCTAAGAAAAGTGAAACAGCCTTTGTAGACCCTAAGAAGCTCAGTGAGGCAGTCAAACAAACTCTTACTTGGTCTGTCCTGGTATTGGCTACCTGGCTTGAGAAGATATACAGTTCCTTTCAAAGTCTACCTAGAGAGGAAGTGAAATGAACACAAGAGCTTTTTCATGAAAAGGGGAAGCAAGCTCAAGGAATGCCTCTTGGGGAGTTTTGAATGCCCCTTCCTTACTTTGTTTCTGCTTTTCTTCTACTTTCCTTGCTCAGTTCCTGCTCAATAATTAGATTATGAGTTTGTTTTTGATTTCTAGTGCATTCCAATATCTATCTATCTATCTATCTATCTATCTATCTATCTATCTATCTATCTATAGCTGAATTCTAAAGTCTGGGTTATGTATGTTATTGTATTCCCCATCACTGTGTATGGATGTAAGAGATAGATGGTAAAGAAAACTGATAGAAAGAAAATCAACTCATTCGATTGTCTGCTCGGTTTCCTTTGGGCCTGTAAAATGCATTTCCAGATGCAAGTAGAGTTTTAAATTAGGTTCTTGTGGGTTTTTTCGGGCTATAGAGCCATGTTCTAGAGGCATTTTCTCCTGACGTTTCACTTGCATCTATGGCAAGCATCCTCAGAGGTAGTGAGGTCTGTTGGATTTAGGAAAATGGGTTTATATATTTAAATTTCTGCAAGGTTAGAAAATTGGAGACGAAAGGAAAATTTGAATTGATATGATGCTTATGGGGGATTTCCTCATTTTCCTACTCCCCTGGAAAAAAGAGGTGACAAGTCTTTAATTGTCCGGAAATCAATGGAATTCAGTGCAATTTAATAAACGCTCTGAAATCCTTTAGCAGATGAACCTCAGTATTTGTGTGTGTATCCTGTAAAATGGATGTGTGAAACAAATGTTCTTAAATCTTTTTCCCATAAGATGTACATCATTTGTTTTGTTCCATTTCCAGTGGATAACGACCCCCATTTTATTATCAACCTGCCAAGACAACAGAAGAACATCTGCTTTAATATAGATTCTGAACCTGGTGCAATTCTGAATTTAATTTCAGATACACAGTCAGGTAAGAAAAAGTACCGTCTATTGTGGTCACTGCATCTAAAAGTAAAGGTAAAGGTTTCCCCTGACACTAAGTCTAGTCATGTCCAACTCTGGGGGGTGGTGCTCATCTCCATTTCTAAGCCAAAGACCCGGTGTTGTCCGTAGACACTTCCAAGGTCATGTGGCCAGCATGGCTGCATGGAGTGCCGTTACCTTCCTGCCAAGGAGGTACCTACTGATATACTCACATCTGCATGTTTTTGAACTGCTAGGTTAGCAGAAGCTGGGCCTAACAGTGGGAGCTCACCCCGCTCCCCAGATTCAAACTGCCAATCTTTCGGTCAGCAAGTTCAGCAGCTCAGTGGTTTAAGCTGCTGTGCCACCCAGTGCATCTATTTAGGTTCATAAAAGACAGTGTTTAGAAAGTGTTTTCTGATACCAGAGGATTGAAGTTGAAAGAGATCCTAAATGGTTTGAGAAAGTTACTGTTTACAATATCTATGGCCCTGATAATAGCATTTTGATACCACATTAACTGCCATGGTCTATCCTATGGAAACCTGGAGCAGTCTAGGTAGTCCCTAAGTATGAAACAGTTACACATTCATAATTCTAGGTTACAAATCCAAAAATTGCAGTACTTAAATGCCAGCCACCATTACAGTTGGAATCAAAATACAGATCACAAGGACATTTCCAATAGCTCTCAGGCTCAGTCTTTACAGGGCATTATAGGTCTACCATTGAGGGAACAAGCTTGTTTCCTGCTACCGCGGAAACTAAGACTTGGAGCAATGGGTTCAAATTACAGAAAAAGAGATTCCACCTGAACATTAGAAAGAACTTCCTGACTGTAAGAGCTGTTCAGCAGTGGAACTCTCTGCCTCAGAGTCTGGTGGAAGATCCTTTTTGGAGGCTTTCAAACAGAGGTGGGATGGCCATTTGTCAGGGATACTTTGTGTTTGGACTAGATGGCCCATGGCATCTCTTCCAACTCTATTATTTTATGATTCTTCTCTGGTTGGGGTTACTAATTTGATTCAACTCTTTATCTTTGAACTGGACTTGAATGGTGTGACTCTTCAGTGTCTTGTGCCACATAAAACACACAAAACGTGGCAATATTCTATGCCCAAGTGCTCCAGAAGACTCGGTTTGTTTAACCAAGAGATAAACATGAATACATCCCAATATGCCATGTTGGCTTCTTCAAAAACACTGAATGCTTTCCTTTCCCCTAGCGATCACCATTAATGGGCAGCTCGTTGGAGCCAAGAAATCCCTCAATAATAAACTGCACACCTATTTCGGCAAGATTGGGTTCAATTTTGAAAAGAAAGGCATCAAGGTTGAAGTCAGCACCGAGGCCATAACTTTGAAGGATGGTTCCTCCAGCACTTCTTTCTCCTGGTCTGATACAGGAAGCCTCATTCGGAGAAGGTACAGATAGTGTTCGGGGCTTTTTTTGGGCTGTGTTTTCAACTACTTTCTTCATTTCTGTCTCCCAAACTGTGTTGGGTGGGAACTGTACCCATGGGTTCAACTTGACCCTAAACAGGTTCTTATAATGCCTAAGATGCCACCAAGTCAAGTTTCTGCAATACCACTTGTGGATTGAGATAGGGGGAGATAACTATCCATTTAGATTTTCCTCACAGTCAGTTTTCAAAAAGCGAAATCTTCAGTTCATTCCATTGCAAATATGAAGAATGCTATTAACTTTTGATTAAAATTGAACTGATACTAAATTTTCTTTTCATCTTTGCTCATGGGTTTGTTGGCTTGCTTTGCCTAGAGTGCTAGTCTCTGTGAACAGAGACAGCAATGTCACGATCACCGTTGATGGGGAGCTGTCCTTCATGGTTATACTACACCGAGTGTGGAAAAAGCATCCCATCAATGTTGACTTCTTGGGAATCTACATCCCACCTGCAAGTAACTTCTCATCTGGTGTGCATGGCCTGATTGGTAAGATTTTCGGGAAAGAAGTTTGGTTGGTTTGACTATTTGGGTATTTTCCTTTGCAGAAGTTGCTGGTGTCCTCTTCAGAATTCACCAGGCCCACGTATTATGTAAACTCACTGAACACAGTTTTACGTATATGAAAAGAGCTTTGACTACCATGAAATCTCACAGGAGGTTCTAGCAATATCTAGCGAGGTTCAGCTGAAGGTTGACCACAGAATTTCACTTTTCTGGGCATCACTAGACTCTTCTGTGCAATTCTATTGTACAATTTATTCTATTCTATTGTACAATGTATTGTACAATTTCTGTGCAATTCAATTGAAAGTTTAAGACACGATTTATTTCAGATAACAAAAATAGTGTTATAGATTATGCATGAACATTGTATTACACAAAGGGGCCTGGAATAGATCCTTCATATAATACATGGGACTATTATATTGCAATGCAAACACAAAAGTTTCTAAAAATCCACTTCTAATCTTTTCCTCCTGATCTCCTAGCCCTTCCCAATTATCGGGGGATATAGTTACGTCTGGGTGATTGATAATTTGGTTGTTTGAGAGTGCAATAGGCCTCAAAGAGTAGTGGACTTCTTTTAATAGTACTTTGGTTGTTTTCCTATGTGGCAGAAGGGTGGTTTAGATGGCCTTTGGTCACTGAAATTCCAAAACAAAATTCTCTCTTCCAGGTCAGTTTATGACTGAACCAGATGTGCAGGTCTACAATGAGAGACCTGGCCATGAGCCTGGGAAATCACTAGCTACAATGGAAGTCAAAGGCCATAAGCTCACTGTTACCAGGTAAGGCATATGACTCACCCAAGAACAAACCCTACATGCTCCTCAAGATGCTTACTATGGGGATGGTGGGCATGTATATATAGTGTTTTGCTTCCACATATATTTGTGCAGAATAACCTCTATGAACCCACAAGAGCCCTACAATCCATCTTCTAGTAAGGCCCTCCTCTTTGTTCCATTACTTTCTCAATCTCATTTAGTGGGAACAGGAGAGGGCACTGAGCAAAAAGTTGGACTTGATGGCCTATGAGGCTCCGTTTATGATTCTTTGTAACAGGACGAGGGATAGTCCCCTCTGTAGTCCCCACAGGGCAAGAAATGGTTCCTGAATTGGGGCAGGATTAGTCTGAACTTTAAAGAAACTAAGTAAGCCATTCAACCTATTTGGGGGCTGGTTCAGAGCCTTTAAAGTTCAAATAAACACCTGAAACCAAAACACTGTCTACTGTCATGAGAGTTGTTAACCCAATTGTTCCCAACCTTTTTTGACCAGGGGCCACTCTGGTCATTAGGATCAAAAGGTTTATGAATCAGTTTTTGTTCAATTCTAGATTCAGTTTGGTTATTTGGGGGAGCTGATTCAGAAATTTCATTGGATAGATGACAGCAGCTCTAGTTTCTGATACAGAACATATGCCATCCAATAGTTGCCATCTGCTCAGCCACAGAAAACCATATTTAATCATCTAGAGCTCATGTGGTAGTCATAATCTTTAGTGAGTAGTGAACTTCTCCCCTCCTGACATCCCTATTACCACGGCACTATAAGAGGATTTTGCAAGACTAGTTGCTCTCATTGCCATGTGGTTTCAAGGCAACAGGATAGTAATGGTGAGGCCGTGGACCATATTTTCGTTCTTGCGGACCACTGGTGGTCCATGGACCACAGGTTGGGAACCACTGTTCTAACCTCTCTCACTCATGCAATAAAGAGTCTTAGAATAACCATTCACAAAGTACAGTCAGCTCTCCACATTTGTGGGTTTAACTTTTGTGGATTTTGATTATTCACAATATTTGATAACAATTCTTTCTAGGAATCTCTACGCCTCTTCGGTGCTCAACAGTTGACCATAGGTCATAACCAGCACAATGAACTGTGCCCAGAATCAAACTATAGCCAATGAAGCTGTGTCAACAAGGGAGCCATACACTCCTTGTACCTGGCACACTGTGGAAAACAGGAAGTGGGCTCTATATGACAGAAAAGCAATGGTTCTCTGGTTTTATCAGTTCTGCTTGGTTATATCCTCTACTGACTGTGATTTTTAATTTTTGTCTCCCATTTAGAGGTGTGCAAAAAGACTACCGATTGAACCGAGTATTTGGAACTGGCGTTCATTGCTGGTTTGTGCACAATAACGGAAAGGGCTTCCTGGATGGCACCTACAGAGACTACCTTGTCCCCAGTTTGTATAGCTACCTGAAGCGTCTCTGAGGCGGTAAAAGAAGAGCAGATGTGGCCCACCTCTGATCAGTTAAACCTTTATTCATGCAGCTCCTATAACGAGTCACTGTTGAACCAGTCTTTCAAGGTGAAAATCTTTTTTCAAGAGAAAAAGCCCAAGTATGCAAAATATATCCTACAGCCCGTATGGAGTCTGCTCCAAGTATTATTAAGCTGTTTTTCTCCTGAAGACAGCTCATAACAATGGTGCTAGTAGAGAAGGCTAAGCAAAAAATATATCTGCCATTTAACGTCGAGCTTGACATTAAACCCAAGTAAGTTTAGCTATTAATAACAGGAAATTGGTCTCTGAGACAAATACATTTTTGAATATAATTAAAAATACCTCTTTGTGGAGATTGTGTCTTTTGTTCAGTTTGTTGCAGGAAACACCCCCAACTCCAATATGTGATTGTAACTGACATCGAAAATGAAGTCTCAAGCAATCTCAGTTGTTCTGAGGAAAAAATGTAATTCTTTCAAGTACAACGCATGGAAAATAATTTCTAACCTGTCCTGTGGAAAATAATTTCTAACCTGTCATATTCCAAGGTCTCATTATGTGTATTCGTTCAGAACAGAGGTCCTCAAACTCCAACCTGCAGACATAGTCCTACCCGCCAAAGCATTATTTTGCAGCCTGCCCTTGCTGTGTCAGCCCATAGCATTCTCCCTCCACATACAAGAATATTTAGTCCCAGAAGTGGTCAGGGAAACTAGAAACCAGCATTATACCATTGGGCTCTAGGGACATATCTGCCATTCCTATGATGTCCCCTCTGTGATTTCCCCCCTCCCTCCAAATCCTTGAAGCTATAAAATAAATATTACCCTTGACATTAAGTCTAGTCATGTCTGACTCTGGGAAGTGGTGCTCATCTCCATTTCTAAGCCGAAGAGTCGGCATTGTCCATAGACACCTCCAAGGTCGTGTGGCCAGCATGACTGCATGGAGCGCTGTTACCTTCCTGCCGGAGTGATATCTATTGATCTACTCACATTTGCATGTTTTCAAACTGCTAGGTTGGCAGAAGCTGGGCCTAACAGCGGGAGCTCACCCCGCTCCCTAGATTCAAATCACCAACCGTTCGGTCAGCAAGTTCAGTGGTTTAACCCACTGTGCCTCCAGGGGCTCCATATTACCGAAAAGACTGTAATTAGTATTTACAATTCTACAAGTAAAAAACAAACAAACAAAAAAACCCCCAAAAAAACCTGAACAGAGTTTGAAACTAAGAAGATACTTGTCTAAGAAATGAGTCCAAAGTCAAGCCAAGTGTTACTGGAAACCCACTGTGCCACCGGGGGTTCCATATTACCGAAAAGACTGTAATTAGTATTTACAATTCAGGATAGGTTAGAACGGCCCCAACTTTGAGGATATCATTCAGAGTTAAGGATAAATTTATGTGGATTAAGACATAATTTCTTCTGAAATTAAATTCACACTTCACATTTCTGATCGGTTTTGATGAACCTAGAAAGAAAATACCAGACTAGTCCTTTTTTTTTTTTACACTTTCCTTTGTTGTGAAAAAGATTCATAAGACATTACTGTTAAAAGAAAATATCACACCAAACAAATATTAATTTGTTCATTACTGAATGGCAATAAAAAGTCACTGTACAAAGGCATTATACATACATATATTTTTTTTACAAATCTACAGAAGATGAAGTCTGTGTTCATGGCAAGAGTAACAGAATAGGAGACCAGATGAAAAAGACCTGATGTCTGAATGCACACTGACTCACAGCTAGCTTAACTTACTTACTGACAATCAAAGTTTGGCACTTACATCAAAATGGCATTTTACCACTTGTCACCCTCTTTTTATGTAGTCTCCCTTGCTGACTGTATCTGGTTCAATGCAAATATTCATGAAGTCCTCTGTATACTCAAAATGTGTTAAGGGAAAAGACACAATAATACAAACATTCACTCCCTTGGAAGCCTCTGCTATGCCACTGGAAGGTGCTCTGGAAAGCAGTGAAAAAGCCTGGGGTGATGGCCTCAGTGTGCACAGAACGCATATGGTATATGTGTGCACGGAGGCCAGGCTTTCTCCTTGGCTCCTTCTGGGTCGACCTAGAGACAGCCAGAACTAACACACGACTTTCCCAGAAAGTTCTGTTTATTCATTATTCATGTCAAGATCATAAGAAAACACAGATTGGTAAAGTTGCATTAAAAAAAAACACAACCCCGCAAGACATAGAATCCAGTGGTTATGCTGAATAAAGGATACTGGGAGTTGTAATACAAAACTTATAATACATAACTTTTCCAATTCATGGCAAAATAAGACACACACCTCTGAAAAAAAATCAAAGGAGGAAAACTCAGGAGTCATTACTCAAACATGGCTCCTCTTCCTGAGCAAGTAAAAGCTGTTTTTCCCTGAGCACTCCCCACTCAAAAAACATGGTGCCAGAGGTTGGTTGCTCAAAAGGTGCTGATAGGTCTTTACTTAAACCCCTGCCATTTTCTACTGAGGTAACAAACATCCCCATGGCTCTCCCGTGCATCAGTGTAGTATCAACGGGTGGAAATCTTAATTATGTTTCCTGCAGGAGAGGAGGTGATTACTAACAGAAAACAGAAAAAAGACACGCTGGCTTGGCTTGAACTGGAATGCAAAGGTTTAAGAACTGTGAACTGCAATTACAGCTATCTGTTAGATTTCATTCCTGGACTGCACAAGTCTCTTGTGTCATCAGGTCTCCAGTCCTGCATGAGTAGCTAGACTAGAGATAGGATTAGGCTGAGGGATTCCTTGCCCACATTCCTGTGCATGTTTACCACAAGGGCTTTGTCTTTCTTCCTCCTGCCAGTCACTGTCTCCTCCTCCTTTGAAGATGTAGCTATGGAATCTCTGTGAGGGAACTTCCTTTTTAAAGGTATTTTTATTGTCCTAGTCTTGGCCATGTGGCCATCCACAATTGTCTCTTCTGCCTTTTCTTCCTTCCACTGGGGACACATTTTGCCTCTCTCTTTAGGCAAAATGTAGCTGCATGGATTTTTTTTTTACTTTTTGACTTTTCTTTTTACCTTTCTTTAGAAGATGAGATTTAGTGAGCTAGTTAGTTCCAAGACCTTTCCTATCTTTTACTTCAATAAATATTTTTGAACCTAAAGTCCTGACTTTGCAATCCTGTATCATCTTGTTGAATAAAAGCTTATCCCAGCTCATCACATGTACGTTTCTGCTGGTTATGAAGTTTACTTCTGGTACGCTGCTATATTTAAGACGGAATCACCCCAACTGAGGTTTATTTTGACAGCTCAGATTCTCCAACACTATCTGTGACCATTGGAGTAGGGAGATCAATTTGTCAGCATAGGAAATCAGCATATACTGTGCAGAACTCCTCTCCAAGGTGTGCTGGATTACAACCCTCATCACAGCATGGCTCCACAGGAGATGTGGTTCAAAATAAGTAGAACGTACTACAACAAGGAAGGCTGATACCAAAGGTGTTAGGTCCATGTCAAAAACTATCTTTAATCCTACTGGTAGAGGAACCCAGTTCTTGCAGCTTATCTACCTTACATTTTGCAAGAAGTATCAGCTACAAAGAGAAGACAGAACTACTCATATCTGACAAGGGATCATGCAGGAGAAATATAGAAGATTTCTAGCTGCAAAGTGTAAAAAGGCATGGAGAAAGTGTTACAATGATACAGAAAAGACCTGGGTCTATTTCATACTATATAATTACAGCACTTTAACTGCCATGGCGTCTGGAATTTGTTGTCTGGTAAGGCCATAAAAATCCCTGGAAGACAATCCTAAATTCCTCATGAAAATAAAAATCTTTGGATTCCATAGGCTGAAACCATGACAGTTAAAGTGGCACTGAAGGGCTATAATTGTATAATCTGAAAGACCTACTGTGACTAACAAGAGGGTACTAAAAATCCTGTTCAATTTTCAGTATGAATCAAGTTCAGAACTCCGACACAGTGGAGTCTAGTGCAGTGCTGTTCTTAACCTGTGGGTTCCTCAGGCCATATATCCCAGAATCCATCTGCTCTTCTGCTGATCTCAAGCCAACTTCGAAATGTCTTCATATGGGATGCCCTCAACTTGACGTCCTTTCAGAGGCCCCTGAAAGACAAAATACCTTCTCAGATAATGGTGTGCAACAATGGGCCAAACTGTGAAAGTTCTAGTAATGCAGGGAAAGGACCCATTGGGACAATGACATCTCCCTTGAAAAATAAATATGGCTGAGACAGGGGAATTGCAGATGGGCCTATAGGACAGGCACAGGGAAACTTTGGCCCTCCAGGTGTTTTGGACTTCAAAACTTCCCTATCGGCTGTTAGGAATTGTGGGAGTTCAAGTCCAAAACACCTGAAGGGCTGAAGTTTCCCCATGCCTGCACTAAAGGCCCATCTGCACCTGCTGCCATCTCTCCATTTGTAAAAGCACACCTTAAGAGTTTAAACGTAAAGGTAAAGGCTTCCCCTGACATTAAGTCTAGTCGTGTCCAACTCTGGGGGGTGGTGATCATCTCCATTTCTAAGCTGAAGAGGCGACGTTGTCCATAAACACCTCCAAGGTCATGTGGCCAGCATGACTGCATGGAGTGCAGTTACCTTCTCTCAGAATTGGTATTTACATTTGCATGTTTTCAAACTGCTAGGTTGGCAGAAACTGGGCCTAACAGTGGGAGCTCACCCCGCTCCCTGGATTTGAACTGCCAACCTTTCAGTCAGCATGTTCAGCAGCTCAGTGGTTTTACCTGCTGCACCACCAGGAGAAGCCATAGATGTAGCACAAAAAACTACTTTGCTTCCCTCCCCCCTCCTCCGCAAAAAAAAAAAAAAAAACAAACAAACAAAAAAAACCCAACCTCTTCAAAAGGGCCTTGCCGTTACCCGTCTTTTAGGCTGAGAGTATGACTTGACCAAGGTCACCCAGATCTGCTGGCCCCAGAAAAGTGCAAAACTGATGTGTCAAAGCTGGGCAAAAGCATTCCTGGTCGTTGCAGCCACCTGACTCCCTCACAAGCAGAATTAGGTCCAAGAGGACCCCTAATTCCTGTTACATTCCAAACAATGTTCTCATAATAAACTTACCGATTCAATGATTATGGTTGCTGAAAACGTTTTCTCGTTAATGCCCTGCAAAGTCGCTTCTTGTCCTCTGTAGCCACCATTCAAAACACGCACCCTTTTGCCTGAAACAGGATAATCAAAGCATTTTCTTCACACAAAGGGAAACCGTTAGTCAGCCCAACCCAACATTGTCTGCCTTGGCTAGCAGTGCCTTCTCAGAAGTCTCAGGGTCCTTCCAGGCAGGTTCTATATCTCAGGATCTGATCCCAGCTTTTCTGCTTTAAACAAGAGTCTGCACTGCCAGATAATCTGGGATAAACAGAAAACCTGGGATCAGAACCTGGGATATGGGGTCTGTCTGGAAGATCCCTCAGGAACAGTTCTTCTTCCCTAGTTCTGCCGACACCCAACCTGAGATTTCTTCATCTCCACAACCTGGGGTTGCAATTCAGTTCCCTCTCAGCAGAGTGTAAATATCCGCATATATATGCTATGCCTGCATTACACAGCCCCATGCAGAAGAGCAACACTGTGCAACACATGTCAGTGACTGGGTGCAAATGAGAAAGAGCAATGTCCAATTACAATGTGGAGCGGCAACACACAATATTGCTGTATGTACAACTCTGCTTCCACTCTTTGGCAACACAATAAGCATATGTAAAGTATCAGGACCTTAATATTCATGCGGATGAATATTATTTTAAATTATCTGGACTGTTGAATCTCCCAGTCCAAAAGATAATGCTGCCTCCTAGTGACTAAATATGTAACTTCCAAGTGGCTGTCTATAGGAGCTGGATTTTAGGATCACGAGGTATGGATTTTTTAAAAATCCAAAGGGGTACTCACAGCACCCCGACAGATGGCCATTCAGCCTCTGTTTCAAAGCCTCCAAAGAAGGAGTTTCCACCACACTTCAGGGAAGAGAGTTCCACTGCTGAATGGCTCTTATAGTCAGGAAGTTCTTCCTAATGTTCAGGTGGAATCTCCTTTCCTATAGTTTGAAGCCATTGTTCCACATCCTAGTCTCCAGGGCAGCAAAAAGGAAGCTTGCTCCCTCCTCCCTATGACTTCCCCTCACATATTTATACATGGCCCTCATGTCTCCTCTCAGTCTTAACTTCTGCAGGCCAAACATGCTCAGCTCTTTAAGTCGCTCCTCATAGGGCTTATTCTCCAGACGTTTGATCATTTTAGTCGCCTTCCTCTGGACACATTCCAGTTTGTCAACAGCTCCCTTCAATTGTGGTGCCAAGAATTGGACACAGTATTTATTTATTTACAGTATTTCTATACCACTTTCCTCACCCCTAGGGGGACTCAAAGCAGTATTCCATCTACATCCTATGTAGCTGAGTATTTTTTGAATTTACCCAAGGCAATTAAGCTATGTTTTTCCAATTCTGCTCATAGGCACAGTTACCAAATGAAAAAAGATGAAAAATTATTTAGTGAAAAGAAATCGACATTTGACTTACCAGGTGCTGGAATCACTGTCTCTAGATGAGTCTGATCAAGTTTCAGCCTGTCTCCAGAATCAATTGTTTTGACAACCGCAGTATATTTGTCAATTACTTCCTGTATATCAAAACAAGTTTGTTAATGACAGAAAATCTGTACCTGATTCTCACTGTGGAAAGTAACATTTAAAATCTAGAGTGGCCCATTTTGTTTAAGAATACAGTATTACTCTTGGAACCATAGAACCCACGGCTTTCGGCAAAACCTGAGATACAACATCTCCAAGGCCCCCTATGCAACTTTCCTAAGATTACTTTACCGTTGGTAGGGTAAATCTGAGCAATGGGTGTGAACCCAGCCTCTTTTTTTTTTTTTTTTGTCATGTCAGGAGCGACCTCAGAAACTGCAAGTCGCTCCTGTTGTGAGAGAATTGGCCATCTGCAAGGACGTTGCCCAGGGGACACCCGGATGATTTGATGTTTTTATCATCCTTGTGGGAGGCTTCTCTCATGTCCCCGCATGAGGAGCTGGAGCTGATAGAGGGAGCTCTTCCGCCTCTCCCCGGAATCGAACCTGTGACCTGTCGGTCTTCAGTCCTGCTGGCACAGAGCTTTAACCCACTGCGCCACCGGGGGCTCCAACCCAGCCCCTGATACTGCAGTATCAGGCGGCAACCTAGAAATAGCAGAGATCGGTGCGGGGGAACTCCTGTCCAAACCCTGACATGGAAGCACAAAACACGACTCCTTTCACCCACAATTATTCCACTGACAGGCAAAAGGCCAAACACTTACCTTTATAACTGCCTTCCTTTTGTGGTATTTCTCACCGAGTTTCTTTGTGATGATTTTGACCACAATGTCCTGGAGAAGACAAATTTTAAAAGGACTGACTGCATCCAAAGCAGTTTGTCTTCACTTGCAGCACATCCCAGCTTCTTGCAATAACCTACCAGCTGGGTCCTAACTTGGATGGAACTAGAAGAGATACCACTGTGAAAGAGGATCTAGGTATAGTTCCTTCTGTCCTAGTCATTCCTGCACACAGGAGACCCTTGCCATGTTAGCATTCTGAAATGGAACCAGTTGTAATTCCAGGCATCTCAAAGACTTCATTTGGTTTCCAAAACTGACACAAACAAAACCATTTCTGGTGGGAAATGATGGAGTAGCACATATTCAAGAAAGGAGCATCTAAACCTAAAATCCTTTAGTCGATGAAGTCCTGCATCCCCTTGCAACACTAGTTCTATCCAGTCTCTCCCCAGGTCAACAACCACATTTTAATCTCTCTTAAAAGCCAATTATCCTCTGACTGTTGACTATTTAATAACCTGAGGTTTCAAAGTGTGTCAGACCTCCTCCTGAATTTTCTTGCTAAACAATAAAATGAACAATAAAATAAAATAAAATAAAATAAAATGAACAATAAAATGAACTGTGACCACATTTTCCTTCCTGACATTTCACCCCAATTTATGGCAGGCATCCTCAGAGGTTGAGGGGGTCTGTTGGAAACTAGACAAGTGAGGTTTATATATCTGTGGAATGTCCATGACAGGCAGCAACCAGCCAGGCTTTGAAGCTGCAAGGCTATTAAATGTCAATTAAGGCGGCCAATTGCAACATTCACACTTGCCTCAAACAGACAAGAGTTATTTCTCCCACCCTTGACATTTATATAAACCTCACTTGTCTAGTTTCCAACAGACCCCTCAACTTCTGGGGATGCCTGGAATGTCAGGAGATAATGCTTCTGGAACATGACCATACAGCCCGGAAAACTCCCAGCAACCCAGTGATTCCAGCCATGAAAGCCTTCAACAACACAGTATTCACACACTTCTGTACTTAACAAAGTCCAGTTATTAATTATCTATTTTTAAACTAACTTTTAATGAGGTCATATTCTAAAAGAGAGACTCAGGATTCAGATGGGATATACTGTTTTGGCACTCAATTTTTTATTTATTTATTTATTTCCTGCATTTGTAACCCGCCCTTCTCACCACCGAGGGGGGGACTCAGGGCGGCCTCACAGCAAGCACCATCCGGTGCTGTCACAATTATAAACATTCAACAATACCATGAAAAGCATTGAACAATAAATTAAACAGTTAATTAAAAAACAATTAACTAAAAACAGTCACTTAAATAATTGATTAAAACACGCCTATTAAATCAAAAATCCAGGTCCTAAAGGGTATCTATTTCAACTGGTGCTCATTACAGAATTTGCTATGCAAGATGTAATTACTACATTCTGACATTCCTATGTATGACATCAGCCACTCAATCCATAAAACAATCTCTTTGTTGAAATAACTGGCATGAAAAGAAACTTGCCAGACATCAAATTGCCATTTTGGGTACTTACTGGCTGTAGCCAATAGTCTGTTCTGTTTGATTTTTTCTTCTCTTCTTCAAACTAAGAGAGTAAAGAAAACATAAACAGTTCAGTTTGGAAGACTACTCAACAAACAATCAGAAAAAAAAAACGTTTTCAAAAGGTGTGAGAGACAGTCTCATTCTTCCATCTTTCTGTTTAACGCATATGGAATGTCCTGGAGATAGCAAATGTTTTGAATGTATTGTTTTTGGAAGCCATCTTGATTCCTACTATGGGGAAAAGGCTACATCTTTACTTCTTTAATGAATTAAAATATATTAAATAAAAATAGTTCCTAAGAATATACTATTAACAAATCCATTCTATCTTCTAGCCCAGAGCAAGCCAGCTTGCAAAACATGTCAGCTGAAAGGGTTCTCTCACCATTTTTTTTCTTCCCCACCCCAATGGTGGCAAGCCGTTGCTGCACTAAAGCAGCATAAATAGCAGCAGTTCCCCACTCCCCCAGGCTAAGCTTACGAAAACACAGATATCGCTCTACCTGCATGATTTCATCGAGGGCTGATTTTTTCTTCTTAGTCTGCCCCGGATTAGAAGGAGGTTCTTTACGCTTCACCGTGGGCACTGTTCCTGCTGCCTTCAGAGCACTGGATCCTAGCACACTGAAGAAAGAGAAGACAGATTGGTATGCTGCTGGTAGGCTTTCTGTCATGGCCTTAAGCTCAGTGACAGAAGATGGTGGAATGGCTGCATGTGCTTCCTAACTTGCTAGGAAAATAGCCCAAGCTGCTGGCACTGAATCTTGGACCCGTGGTTTCAACGTCCGAAGAAGCCTAGTCCAGTCCTTCATAGGTAGCTTCCACTGAGGAGCTACGTTTCTTCCATACCATTAATAGAACAGATACATTGTATGCAGGAAGTATACTCACTTGGCTTTTGGATGCGCAGCTGTTGACGTACTTGCTCCTTTGTTCAAATTAAATACAACTAAAGATGAAAAAAAGATGGATCACTCTCTGTTTGGCACTGCAGACGCAGAAAAGTATGTACCTGCTCAATTCCTTCCTTTTTTAAAATGAGGCTTATATCACACCTCTTTTTCTTCCCTGACTTTTTCTGTGGGTTGGAGAAGAGTGCTATAGATCACCTCTACAGACAATTTGGGTGTAAAAAAGGTGAATTATTTTCTTTTTTTGTAAGAAAAAATTGGCAACTGTTGCAGGACAGAAACAGAAAAAGGTAACTCTTTCCCCACAATTTCCTAGTTCCTTTTTTATTTAAGCTTTAATGGAGGGAAATCTTGTGCCTTTCTTCCCAACTCTACTTGCAAAACCAATTTGAAGAAAGCGCATAATTACAGAAAGACGACTATGGTCATCCTCTGCTTTTTATCTTACCCAAATCCGCATGCAAATAAGACAAAATATTTTGCATCTTCTCCAAGTCTCCTGGGCTTGTTTGAAGGTTTGGGAAAGAGGCAGATTTTACTCTCATGTGAAAGTTTTGGAGAACTGGTAGAAAGAGTGTGCCAAGTTCCAGGATATAATGGAGGGAGGTAGTACCTTATATATTCAAGTATAAACTGACCCAAATATAAGCTGAGACATCTAATTTTACCACAAAAAGCTGGGAAAATATATTGACTCTGAGCTTCTTGAGAATAGCTGCCTTAGAATTTTTTGTACTCATACACAATAAAAACAAAATGATAAAAAGATTACTGTGTATACTCAAGCATAAAGCAACATAAATATAAGCCAAGGACCCTAATTTTACCCCAAAAAACTGGGAAAACATATTGACTCAAGTATAAACTGAGGATGGAAATTACAGCAGCTACTGGTAAAATTAAAAAATAATAGACGCCAATAAAATTACATTAATTGAAGCACCAGTAGGTTAAAACTTTTACATATTTAATATTTTGAATGTTAAAACTGTAATTTGAGATAAGACTGTCCAACTCTGATTACCTATATACTGGAGTATAAGCCAACCCGAATATAAGCCGACTCAAACATAAGCTGACTAGGACCCTCGCTAGAATATACACCCCTAAAAAGGGGCCCTGAAAACCCAGCTTATACTGGAGTTTATACAGTAATTAGAAGCAAAGGCAAACAGAGACTGGCTTATACTTGAGATAATATTTGTAGGGCTAAAAGTTAAGATATAATAGTAATAAAAATTACAAGAAAAATATAATTTGGCTTTCTGGCATTGCATTATTTCTGGCACAATAGCCACTGAATAGCTTTGCCTGGTTTCTGGAAGGCGATCATGGCTCATTCTTATATCTTTAAGATACAATGTGCAGCCATGAAGCATGGGCATGTTTTCTTTATTTTGGTCTTCACTGACAGCAAAGAGGGAGTAAAAAGGGGGGGCAGATAAGCCTGGGAACACACCTGCTTCGTTCAGTGATAAATATCTGGACATTATAAGATATGTACATTGTAGATATAGTACTGTGAGCACTAAAATTCCCTACCCTGGTGTCTAAGGAATAAACACATATAGCTTAATAGCACAATACCCAAAATATCAGGCTTGAGGGTGAAAAAGAACCAGTGTGTAAGAATGCCATGTCAATAACCCACATAACCCCATCCCAAAGTCTCACAATTGCTCAGTCATTTACCTTTTTCTTCCTCATTTTCTCTGCTTAATTCTGTGAAGACAGGTTCCTCCTGCTGTAAAACAACAAAGCAATTTCAGGGTTTGTATACACAAACAGTGAGTGGAAGCTGGTGCTAAATGAAACTTTATTGCAACCAAAGATGAGGAGTGGGTTTAAAGGGGGCTTCACAGAACAAATGGGATTGTTTTAGAGAACAGGTCATCTTTAGGGAACAAAATCAGTAAAAGTAAGACTTTACTGTCATCACATTCAAACTTGTTAGGGATCCAAAGTTTACTCTATGAGTTACATCAATGACAGTAAAGCCAGTCTCCTATATTATTAGAATTTGCAGCAGAAAGACATCAGTTGGTAATGTACCCACCAACCTCACTGAATGTTCCAGTTATGGAAAATGTCTTTTGTGGAAGGAATTGGATGTGAAAGCCTTCAGCTCACCTGTTCTTTCCCCTCCAAGCCCCTCTTCACTTGTTCTTCAATGAACCGGGCTGTTTTCTCTTCGTCGTCAAGGTCCTGTTTTTTCTTTTTCTCTTGCTCCTGCTGCCTACGGATCGTCTCAGGGTCTCTGTCGATGTACTGGATGTACCAGCCTTTGGGGGTTTCATCCACTTTACAGAAGCCTTAAAACAGTCCACAACAATCAGGGATGATGCCAAACAACGTCTAGAACAACACATGTTCCTTACTTCAATTCTATGAACACAGTAATCTACCCTTTAATGAATACAATAGGAGGCCCTTCTGGTCTATTTCAAAAGCAAAAAATGTCTTTCAGAAAAATGGCCTCATTTTGTCTCTGAGTTTTGGAAGAGGTATTGAACCTCATCATTCAAAAGGATGCAAAAGTTTATTCAACTGGCATTTACCATGCTTGCAAACATACTTTCACCTTCATGAAGGCTAATAACTTTTTCTGTTTGTTTTAAAGGGGAAAGTGTATCTTCGTAAAGGAATATCATCCTTTAAAAGATGCAATTTGTACTCAACATACACACGATCTAGTTCTTTGGGTCAGATGAGTCTGGCAGTCACTGAACGGACAATGAAAATAATTTCCATCACTTAATATATTTGTTTCAGCCTTTTCATCTAACTGTTCGGTTGCCTGACACGATAAATAAATAGCCATTTCATCGTTAAGGTTCCTCAAAGCCATGCACATTGGTTTCCACTTTGGATGTCATCCATTCAAATACATATAATCCACACACTATCCATTCAAGAACAGAATTACCTTCTCTTCCAAGCCACTTGGTAAAATCTGTCAGCGTTTCCCACTGGGTGGCATTCATATGGATATGTTCCCGGTGACTAATGTATTCATTATATACAATATTATTGTGAACTCTCTTCGTCCCTAGAATTTTCAAAGAAGCCCATAGTTTAGAAATCTGACATTGGATAGAAAACACAAAGTATATAATAAGAAACATCATTTGATTACACATGATTTACCAAATCGTCTTCTGAGAAGCTCTAAGAAATCATTTCGGAATTCCCTAGGAGAATATAAAGGAGGCAATTAGCGACTTCTGATTCACACAGACCTCTTCATAAGAAAACTGCCTAGTCCAATGCATTGCAAAGGCATCATGGTAGTTCTGTCTCTTGGTCATATTGGGATTTTGGCAGTTATGTGCAAGATGTCTGCAATACGATACATTTATTACATATCTAAGATGCACCCCTACTCAAATGATTGTTTTCATAGAAACATCATAGGACTGACTTGAACAGTTATTTATTATTGTTTATTTCAACAGATTCCATGCAGGCAAATGAGGATGTCTGCCCAAATAGATATTCGACAAGCATCTAGAACATTATGTGGGCACAAACTGCTGTAGTAAAAACTTGGTATGTGCAATCATACTACCTATATTGTGACAAAAGGCTACTTCCAGTTACAATTTAATAATCAATAATTTTGACATGAAAGCAGCAGAAAAATCGATGTCAAGGTCTTGGATGAACTCACTGTGAAAAATAATCCATGAATTGCTGCGGATTTTCAGAAGCAAGCAGCAACTGTCGCTGGTGAGATTCTGACATGCAGTGGCATTTAAAGCCATTCTAAAAAAAAAAGGGAAATCATCATCAGAAAGGCTCTGAGGAACAAAGCCCAACATATATTAAGCCTCCCAGGACAAAAATGTAGAAGAGACACACATTTATGTTTTGCATAAATATCTACACATAGAAAACATGATAATCCCAGATGCTTCCTGTCATGCATCTCTCCTGAACTGTAACCATGTCCAGATCCATGCTGAACCCATTGAATAGCTACTCTCTAACCCCATCTTCATTTATTTACCACGTTTGTACCCCATCCTTCTCATCTTAAAGGGGACTCAGAGTGGCCTTACTAAAGGCAACAATTTGATGGCACGCAAATACATACCAATAAAATAAACAAAATCCAAGCTATTAAAACATGAAACATTAAAATCATGCAATCTTCATGTCAGCTATCCTTAGTGGTTTCCAGAGGAGCATTTGCACAGCTTCGGCTCGTGCGCCAGCTGTGCCCGTATCTTGGGAAGTCGGACTTGGCCACGGTAGTCCACGCTCTTGTCACATCCCGTATAGATTACTGCAACGCGCTCTACGTGGGGTTGCCCTTGAAGACTGCCCGGAAGCTCCAGATGGTCCAGCGCTCGGCAGCCAGGTTGCTAACGGGAGCGGCACTCAGGGAGCACACCACTCCTCTGTTGAGCCAGCTCCACTGGCTGCCAATTTGCTACCGGGCACAATTCAAGGTGCTGGCATTGGCCTATAAAGCCCTAAACGGTTCCGGCCCAAAATACCTAACTGACCGCCTCTCGGCCTATGAGCCCACGAGGACTTTGAGATCTTCCGGGGAGGCCCTGCTCTCGATCCCGCCTGCTCACAGGCACGGCTGGTGGGGACGAGAGATAGGGCCTTCTCGGTGGTGGCTCCTCGGCTGTGGAACACCCTTCCCGTGGACATCAGGCTAGCCCCCTCCCTGCTAATATTCCGCAGGAAGTTAAAGACCTGGCTATTTAAGAAGGCATTTGATCAAGAAGTGCAATGACTGGCAATTGACCATAGGAATGGAACAACGGAAATGATATCGGATTGTGGCTTGACGATGAGACGATTCGGAATGTAGTAGTAATTTTGTAGTAATGTTGTTGTTTTGATAAGATGTTTTTTATGATTATGATGAATTGCAGACTGTTTTGCACTATGCTTTGTAGATTGCACTTGTTTTTTCATGTTGTACACCGCAATGAGTCGCCCTTGGGCTGAGAATTGCGGTATATAAGCGCAGTAAATAAAGTCAGGGAATGATAAATTGCGGTATATAAGCACAGTAAACAAACAAACAAATAAATAAATAAATACAGGGTGTGGCAGCATAACTTCCTTTTTTAAAATGCACACCACGTTGGTTGAAGACGAAGCGGAGCGCTAGTGGTCTCGTTCGAGAGGTGGGAGTATAAAGTTTTGTCCTGACAAAGTTCAGTCGCCATCATGCATTGGTACAGTGAGGAGCATGCTTTTACCGTTGAGGCCTACTTTTCGAGCGGATGTTCTGTGATCGCAACTCAGCGCGCCTTTCAGAATTGCTTTAATTTAGCCCCATTGGTCCCTGTCCTAGACCGGAAATCAATTGTGACATGGGTCACTACATTCAGACAAACTAAAAGTGTGACAAGACAACGAACTGGAGTCCCTCAGCCCATTAGATCACCAGAGAACACTGAGGCAGTGAGAGCTTCAATGTTGGTATGCTGCCTTTAGCATCCATACCAAATCGCTACGTAAAAACACATACTCTGTAATTTTACTTAAGCCATCCTGGTTATGAGGCATCACAACGTTGTCCTGCAGTAAATTCCCAAATTAAATTATATGTTGTGAGAAGGAAGTCTTTCCTTTTGCTTGTCTCAAATATAATCCCTGATTTTTCCCTTCCTTCCTTCCTTCCTTCCTTCCTTCCTTCCTTCCTTCCTTCCTTCCTTCCTTTGTATAGGTTGGGGGAAAGTGAAAATAGTCCCAACAAGTACACTCTCCTCCTTGTAAATTTATTTATTTATTTACTGCATTTGTTGACCGCCGTTCTCAGCCCTAGGGCGACTCACGGCGGTTTACAACATATAAAAACAGTTTACAACAAGGGCATATCAAAACATCAATATAAACATAACAATCAACAATACAAATTACACTAAATCATCCGCGCCGTCTCATCTTAGAATCATAAACCAATCTCGTAATCCATATTCCGTTCCAATCATCATTGCCAATTGTTGTAGCACTTAGTCAAACGCCTTCTCAAATAACCATGTCTTTAGGCTCTTGCGGAATGTCATAAGGGAGGGCGCCTGTCTGATGTCTACAGGGAGTGTTCCACAGCCGGGGGGCCACCACCGAGAAGGCCCTATCCCTCGTCCCCGCCAGCGTGCCTGTGAGGCAGGCGGGATCGAGAGAAGGGCCTCCCCAGATGATCTCAAGGTCCTCGTGGGCTCATAGGCCGAGATGCGGTCAGAAAGGTATTTTGGGCCGGAACCGTTTAGGGCTTTGTAGGCCAACACCAGCACCTTGAATTGGGCCCGGTAGCAGATCGGCAGCCAGTGGAGCTGGAACAACAAGGGCGTTGTGTGCTCCCTGCGTCCCGCTCCTGTTAGTAACATGGCTGCCGCGCGCTGGACTAGCTGAAGCTTCCGGGCCGTCTTCAAGGGCAGCCCCACGTAGAGTTATGTTATGTTAGTCAAGGCGGGATGTGAGTTTATTTTATGAAGCCCCAGCGTTAGAGAGCGTTGCCGTATCAAGGCGAGTATGTGACCATGAGCGTGTACTACGCTGCTGGCCTTACAGTCATACGTCCCTAGGTATACGACTGCGGGGATTTAGCTGGCGCACTGAGGCCACTGATGCTGTGGCAAAATGCTTCCCGGGGGCTAGTCACCCGCTGAAACCTGGGGGTTCCTTAGGCTCTAGAGGTATAGGAATGCGCAGGATGCAGCACCGCAATCTGGCTAACCTGGGCGGCCTTCAAGGAGGAGTTGGCGAGCGCGGAAA